TACCAAGATAATCAAGCCCAGTAGCTTGATTATCACTTCAAAAGTTTTTTTTCTCTTAATTAATTGGCCTCTCAGAGTTGGTAAGACAACTCCCACCTGTTTATGCTCTCTGTATGTGTGTATATATATCTCCTCAATATATGTTCCATTCTATATGCATCCGAAGAAGTGGGCTGTAGTCCACGAAAGCTTATGCTCTAATAAATTTGTTAGTCTCTAAGGTGCCACAAGTACTCCTGTTCTTCTTTTTTCTGGAATCTGTTGTGATATCTGTTAGAACAGACATTCCTCGGTGGGAAGTATTTGTCCGGCAGTGTCCACAAGGTGGCACTGTTGATCTCCCTTGCGAGATCAATTCTGTCATCCAAACTTCTGTATCAGATGCATGTGGATTCAAAACTGAATTAAATTGGTGCAGGATCCGTTTACACATAATACTTGGCAAATTACCACCTCTATCGGCATGCAGGCCTAAGTGGTTGAAAAGCTCTGTGCTTGGGAACTTGGCGATGTGGGGCCTGACAGCGTTGTTTTAAGGGCACCATTCGTGATAGCCCAGGCCCACAGCAATGTGTAACCAGTAACACCTGCTTTTGGCTTAGACACATCAAGGACGTGGTGAATTGGACTGGGGATACCATAGCCAGAGAGATGTTATTTATGAGCTGTGAATGATACAAATAGACACTACAGGGCACCAGCTAGCAAGGAAACAAACTCCTCAACAGGGTAGGAAGACTGACTTTATCTGCAAAAAGAAGAACAGGAGTACTTGTGGCACCTTAGAGACCGCGGATACAGACTAACATGGCTGCTACTCTGAAATTTATCTGCAAAGTTCCTGTTAGAAAGAACAGAGACACGGCTCTCTAGGAGCGGGGCGTAGAAGAGATCTCCAAAGAGGAACTTTCCATCTGCTTATCGAGAAGCATTGGAAACAATCCCAGCATCCCACAACAACCCTACAATAACAGACTAGCATGCGCAGTCCAGCAGCACTTGTCTGCAACATGATGCTGAGATGCCCACACAACGCAGCTGGTGAGCTGTGACGGCTGGGTGTCATGCTGTTCATTACAGTCTCACGCTTAGATCACAAGAGCGGCCAGACTGGGACAGACCAAAGGTCCATCCGGCCCAGTGTCCTGTCTTCCGACAGCGGCCAATGCCAGGTGCCCCAGAGGGAATGAACAGAACAGGGAATCATCAAGTGATCCATCCCCTGTCGCCCATTCCCAGCTTCCGGCAAACAGAGGCTAGGGACACCATACACTTCCCTTTGCTCCACCACCTGCTGTTGTATCTCCCTGTGAACCCTCATCACACACTTAGGCCTGGTCGACACACTAGAAAATTAGGTCGGCGTAACTATGTCGCTCAGAGCTGTGAAAAATCCACCCCTCTGAATGGTGCACATAAGCCAGCCTAAGTCCCTGTGGAGACCGTGCTAGGATAACAGAAGAATTCTTCTGTCATCCTAGCTACTGCCACTCCGGAGGTGGATTACCTACGCCGACCGGAGAACTACAGACACACTGACACTGCAGCATTTTGAATGTAGACAAGCCCTTAGGTTGCAGGCTCTTCAGAGGCAGGAACCGTATTTTTGTTATGTCTGCGTACAGCACCTAGCGCAGGGGGGCCTGATCCCCAGTTGAGGCATGTAGGGGTTACTGCAGTACACACGCCCAGCCCAGTACTCCGCAAACACGTAATGGAGGAAAAAGAAGTCAAAGGAACACTCCCATTCCAAGCCCCTTGAAACTCGTCACGTATTGTAGGAAGGGGGCGGGGGGCCTAGTTTAGCTGAACTAGCCAAGTGCTTCTGCAATGCAGTTTGAAGCCATTTGCAGTCCCAGGGAATTATTGCTGATGAACCCCAGGGAGGGCAGGTCGAGCTCCGCTCCAGTTCAAGGAGGATGTTGACAAACTGGCGAAGGGTCAGAGACAAGCCATGAGAATAATCAAAGGGCTGAAAAACGTGCTTAGCAGTGACTCCAGGAGTCCTGTCTGTTAGTTTAACAAAGTGCAGACGAAGGGGCGAGTTGACCACAGCCCGTGGGTACCTGCGGGGAACAGCGATTTGAGATTGGGCTCTTCAGTCTAGCAGACGAAGGTCACCTGAGCCAGTGGCTGGGAGCTGAAGCCAAAGAAATTCTGTCAGGAAACCAGGTGGAGACTTTGAACAGGGAGGGTCAGTAACCCCGGGAGCAGTATCCCAACGGGGGGGAGGGGGATTCTCCCTCACTGGCCATTTTGAAATCCAGATTGGCTGTTTGTCTGGTGGGAACAGGAATGAAGTCAGGGCAGTCCCAGGGCCCGTGTTACACGGGAAGTCACAGGGGTCCCTTCTGGCTTTGGAATGGAGGAATTTATTAAGCCTCCCATTTCCCCTGGCCACCTAGTTTTTCTGCAGAAATATTTTCAGATCCAGCCACCTCGGTGGCCTGAGCTGCTGCTGTTTGCCGGTGGCGGGTGCTGGGCCAGCTGGCTTGGCTGGTTTCGGTGCCTGGACGTGTCACTGGCTGGACGTGGCTGCAGGTGCCGCAGGCCACTCGCCGTCCGTACACACCAGACAGGTGGAGGCAGGTACCGAGGGCAGGCAGCGTGTGCGCCCCTCAGTGCCCCAGCTGGAACCAGAACCAGAACCAGAACATACCGGCAGGCCGGGCCTCCAGCCCTGCTTTGCATGGAGCTGAGAACAGAAACGATTCCTCAGCCCCACTGGTTCACCTTGTTAGAGCCACATCCACCGCCCCAGGAATGCAGGACGGGCCCTGGCTGGGGGCAACTAAACTAGTGCTGGATTAACCCTTTCTCTGCCGGCTCTCCACCACGCCTGCTGGATGGAATGGTAGGGCAGCGCCACAGGTCTGCCCTACAGAAACAAAGCTGGTATCTTCAGCAGCACAGCATGTGGTTAGAGCACTGGAGAGGGACTCAGCAGACCTGGGTTCTTGGCCGCTGGGTGACTTTGGGCAAGTCACGTCCCCTATCCGTGCCTCAGTTTCCCCATCTGACAATAATGATCCTGGCCTCTGTAAAGTGCTTTGAGATCTACGGCTGAAAAGGACTAGAGACAAGCTAGGGGTTATTGTTACCTGGGTAAACCTGGAGTACTTAGCAGCACTCAGGTGCCTAAGCCAACTTTTGGCTTCCTGTTGTTTGTCTTCCACAGCTCAGACCCGGCCTCCAGGCTCAAACATTCTCACGAACCAGCTTTTCTTCCCCAGCATTCTCTGTGTCACCTCCTCTCTCCCGGCCTCAAGGCCGCACTGGCTGGGTTCTTCACACACAGCACTTCTTTGATCATGCTAACGAGCCAGGAAGGGGGGATCTGAGAGGGGGGAGCAGCATGCCCTGCACTCTGGAAGGCGCGCAGCTGCTCTGGTGAGGAGTGCGGTGTCAGAGCCTAGAACAGAAATAGCATTCGAGTTTTAATCAAGCTCGTGGCTCTAATTCGAGGAGGCTGCGCTTCAGGCCATTAGGTCTTTAGCAGGCCCCACTAGCCGGGTGGTGCGATGCAGCCATTCCAAATGCCAGGTGCTTATCCCGTACCCACAAGGTAGCGATTCACAAAGGCGTTCGCTGGGGCAGGGAGTTCCTGGCAAAACAGCTGTGCCCCTGGAAGGACCCCAACAGCTGTAGAAGCGGAGCTGTGCCGTACCCGAAGCATTGTGTGACTCGCAGGCTGATGTCTGTATTTGCTATTCCCAGGATGGAGCGTGCCGGACACTCAATAGCGTCTCCTCTTTATTCAAGGGGAACCTTTTCCAACGGGACTTGCGCCATGTGCTGGCCACGTGTCCCATTGCATGCAGGGACGGGAGCGTGGGAGCGTCCTGAGCGCACAGCACTAGCAATGTGTGCAATAGCGGGATCGCAGCTAGCGGTGCCAGGGGCGTGCCTGCCAGGGAGGGGGGCAGGCGCTGGCTGCTGGGGGAAGTTCCAGCAGATGAGGCCGCTGCTCGCGGGGCCGGGGCACCTCCCGAGAGCGCTCAGAGCGGCTGGGGTGGGGGTTGTGCGATCCCTGCGTCCCGGGCAGATGACTGCAAACGTCACGCGGCCGGCAGCAGCACAGCTGGGGCTGACAGATCAGAATCCGGGCCCTGGCCTCCCTCTCCTTGTAAAGCAAGTTTGGCTGAAAAGAGAAGAAAACAAGTCACCAGGTGTCTGTGTTCCACCTGGTGCCAGTGCAATAGGGGAGAGGTCAGGTGCATTGCCTCAGCCCCTCCACTCCCTATATAAGGGAACTCCCCGGGGATTCGGTGCAGCCTGACTCCTGGTCACTCTGCAGAGGGAGGGATTTGGGCTGCGAGGTGCCTTCAGCTGGACCATGGCCAGTTTCTCCCGCTCTGGGGTTACTCTGGGGCCCAGGCTGAGCTGGGTCCGCGTGGTGGGGCTGCAGGGGGGCGTTCCGGGAGGGCTCGGTGTCTGCGGAGGGGCTGGGAGCACCAGCAGCCGCCTGTTTTCTGGCAGTGACGGTATAGTCGGGCCTGGGCTGGGAGGAGGTGCCAGGGAACCAGGCCTCCTCAGCATGAATGAGAAGGACACCATGCAGAACCTGAACGACCGCCTGGCTGCCTACCTGGAGACGGTGAGTGCACGACCCGGATGGGCTGGAAGGCAGCCTCTCGGCTCAGCGGGAGAGCGAGTGAAACCGAGAGGGCAGCAAAGCTCTAGATAAGGGAACATCCTCAGGAATTCTTCCTGTTAACCCCGTTTGGTATGGTAGTAACGCGGGTCAGCTGAGAACGGTCCCCGTGGTGCTGGGGGCTGTACAAACACAGGGCAGCCGACACACGGACCAGTGGGTTATACAGATACCAGCGGCAAGGGCAGAGCTGAGTTCTGGAGAGTGCACAAGCCAGGCGGGTGCAGAAATCTCTCTCGCTAGGCTGCCCATCACCAGAGTCTCTAGAGCTTTATTTAGAGTCTGGCCTGAGGCCACTTTGAAACCCAGCCCCCAAATGCACACATAAATCTGCTGTGAGCAAAGCATTTCCCCCAGAGCTGTGCCCCGCGGCCGCTCCCCTTGAGACAGTGATGCGGGTTCGGCTTTGTTACCAGGGAGAGCCCAGAACCCCAGGCCCTGACCGGTGAGGAGCCTTTTCCGTCACCACCCACTTGGGTCTTCACCTGCCTTCAATCCCCTGCCAGGTGCGGTCTCTCGAGGAAGCCAATGGGCAGCTGGAGCGGCAGATCCGGGAAGTCTATGCAAAGAGAGCGCAGGCTGGATGCCAGGACCTGAGTGGCTACTTCAGCACCATTGCGGAGCTCAGATCACAGGTACTGGGACTCCGAGTCCTTCCCCTAAGGGGGACCTGGCATTGACTCATGGCTCCAATTCCCCCCTTGCCTCCAGGAACTGCCCCGTGTTGTTACAGGGACTGGATTTCAGCGGCTGCCTTGAGGGGGCTTGCTGAGTCTTCCCTTAAAGCACACAAGCCCTTGTCATTAGAAAGCTAATCTTCCCATTGTGACTCTGGTGTGGCTGGTGCAGAGACACCAGCCTGAGCCGTGTTTGGCCTCAGCCAATAGCTCTGAATGGTGTGAACTGTTCCTGTTCATCTCAGAGGGGTGTTGACTCTGAACCCTAATAATGGTAATTCAATGGTCAGCAGCATTCACTATTTCTCTGCTGAAATAGGGACCAACATCTTGTACCAGTGTGAAAAATTAATGCGGCTCAGAAATGGAAAGCAGCAGTGTTCAGAGTGTCTGAATCATTCCCTGACAGAGAGAGGTAGGTGTGTGTGTGTGTGTGTGTGTGTGTGTGTGTGTGTGTGTGTGTAAGACAGAGAGGGGTTGTGATGGCAAATGGTAATTTCTCCTCATTCTGATTCCCATCATACTCATATTTCCACTTCAACTGCAACGGGATTTGAAGAGCCGCTATTCTGAGATCTGCTGGGGCTGACCCCCTGACCTGTAAAGTTATACACCTGAGGGCTGGAGTACGGCTCACATAACAGCAGAGGGCAGCCAACAGCCCACTGACCTGTAACTGACCTACCCGGCCGTCACCCAATAAACAACAGCAGCACCCGTTCCCTCCTTCTGCAGATCCAGGCAGCGTCGACGAGTAACGCCCAACTGATCCTGCAGATTGATAATGCCACACTAGCTGCTGACGACTTCAGAGTGAAGTAAGGGATCTTCATTGGACACCCTTCCTCCTCCTCCTCCTCCTCCTCCTCCTCCTCGGCCTTTTTCTTTAAGGACAAAATTTTCAAAGCAGGCTCTGAAATGGCCCCAGTGACATTTGCAAGCCCGTCCGCCGCAGGCGTGAGACAGGCATTTGCGCATGCAAAAGAGGTCGGTGCATTGGCGGATGTTACTTATTTAGGGTTGCGACCCGTCCGGGTTTTGGCTTCTGTGTCCAGGTACCATTTAGGGTCGCCAGGTTCTCGGTTTTCGACTGGAAAGTCTGGTCGAAAAGGGGACCTTGGCAACCCTAAATGGCACCTGAACCAAAAGCCCGGTTACCTGGGGCAGGGAGAAGAGCCAGGTTATCAACCCACACCAGCCCCGGCTCTGCCAGGGCTGCCTCCTACCTGCAGGCAGGCTCCTTGAGATGATCCAGTAAGTGACGGGGTGAGGCGGGGAGAGGAGCGAGCGATGGGGGCGGGACCTTGGGGAAAAGGCGGAGAAGGGGTGGAGCCTCCGGGGAAGAGGTGGAGTGGGGTGGGGCCATGAGGGAAGAGGCGGGGTAGGGGGATGGGGCCTTAGGGGCCGCATGGTGCTGGGAGCTGTACACACGTGCTCCCTGCCCCAAAGGGCTCACGATCATGACAACTGCTTTGAAAACCCAGCAGAGGTGAATGTCCTGGCTGCAGACGCCCATGCACTCCGCTCAGCCCCCGTCCGATGGCGTCTGCATGAGGGTCCCAGAGCAGGGACCATCGTGTCATTAGCACTCCTAGGACAAACCTGGCCGGGTTTCCATGCCCAGCCAGCAGGGCCCAGCGCGTGTCCAGGACCCACGTAGCGGTGACTGGGTCACTGAGACGCAGCCTTTCCATAAAGGTTTGAGTCGGAGCTGGCCATCCGGCGGGGCGGGGAGAGCGACGTCGCCGGCTTGCGCAAGGTCCTGGACGAGGTGACCCTGAGCAGAGCCAGCCTGCAGGAGGAGCTGGGAAGCCTGCAGGAGGAGCTGGCTCAACTCCAGAAGAACCACGGGGAGGTGCGGTCACTGCAAAGCCCCGGTGGGATCTGCAAGGGCCACTCGGGGGCCTCAATCCCGACCCGCAGCCCCTGTGTTAGCCCAGTCCTGGCCTCCTCCAGCACCCAGCTCTGCAAACACACCTCAATCCCGACCCGCAGCCCCTGTGTTAGCCCAGCCCTGGGTTCTCCAGCACCCAGCTCCGCAAATGCACCTCAATCCCGACCCACAGCCCCTGTGTTAACCCAGTCCTGGCCTCCTCCACCACCCAGCTCCGCAAACGCACCTCAATCCCGATCCGCAGCCCCTTCTCCTGTTCCAGCCCAGGGCCTCTCATGTACCCAGCTTGGTCTATCAATCCTGCCACATGGGATGTTGCGTCCATGACCTGGACAAACATCCTCTGGGGATTAACTAAACTCCTTCCTTTCCCTTCCCTCGGCTAAGTCACCACACCTAAGATAGGATCCACTGTGCGGTCTGGCTGCCCCCCCGCCCACTGCCTAGCCTCCCGCTCCTTCTCACAGGGACTGGTTCCCGTTACATCCTGCAGGAAGCGGCTGCTCTCCAAGGTCGCCTGGGAGGCTCAGTCAGTGTGGAGGTGGATTCTGCTCCCGGTGTCGACCTGGTGAAAACCCTGGCAGAGATCCGGGACCAATACGAGGACGTCATTGAGAGGAACCACAGAGAGGCTGCGGCCTGGCACAAGGAGCAGGTAGGGGCTTCTCAGCAACAAGCCACAAGATGGTCTGAGCCTGCCCTGTGGCGGATGGTTTGCTCGGCTACTGCTCATCTCTGGCACGTGGTCATGTTCCCGCGCATCACAGGAGGTCTGGTGGTGGGTGGCTGCATCGACCCGTGTCACACATCCCCATGGTCCAGGGGTCTCTCTCCATCCCATACCAGGGAGGGTGCAAAATATCCCCTGAGCCATGAGATGGCACCTGCGAGTGCTAGTGCCCCAGGCCCCTGAGGCTCTTCTCTTCCGTGCAGTGTGAGACGGTCGCTCAGGAGGTGGCCACCAGCGCGGAAGCCGTCCAGGGTGCCAGGACGAAGCTCACGGAGCTGAGGCGCGTAGTCCAGGGCCTGGAGGTCGAGCTGCAGTCACTCTACAGCATGGTGGGTACACAGGCCTCTTGCCATCAAGGCTGGGGTCGGAGCGGCTGTAGAACGGTGCCCCGCAAAATGTGTCTTTTGGGTCAGCCCGAGACGCTCCCCCTCCCGCCCCCAATTGTTTGGCCGAACCGAAAAATCGGTTATTGGCCTCGCTGTAATGAGCCAGCCAGGGTGTCGCTCCCCCGCCTGCCCCTGGGACGGCGTCTGCAGCTGGGCTCATCCCGCCTCTGCTTTCAGAAAGAGGCTCTCGAGGGCACGCTGGCTGAGACCCGGGCTGGCTCCGGGGCCGAGCTGGAGCAGCTGCGCGAGTGCGTCGCTAGGAAGGAGGCCGAGCTGGCGCAGCTGAGAACTGACACCCAGCGGCAGGCTGAGGAACACCAGCAGCTGCTGGATCTGAAGACCAGGCTGGAGATGGAAATCGCCACCTACCGGCGCCTCCTGGAGGGTGACGATGTCAGGTCGGGAACACGCAGCTCTGAGCTCAAGGGGCCTCGGGCTTGGGCGGGTGGAGACCCTCAGACGGGCAGTACTCGCTGCGGGTAGTGTGGTCTGGGGCAGAAGCCAGGGGGATGGGAGTCAGGACTCCTGGGTTCCATTCCCAGCAGTGACTCAAATCCCTCCGCCTCTCTGTGCCTCGGTCTCCCCAGCTTTAAAATGGGGCTAGTGATACTGACCCCCCGTCACGTTATTAACGAGGGTGAGCTTGGCAAAATGCCTCCCTGAGAGCACCCCCTAGTGGCCACGGATGAGCCTGGAACTTGAGGAGGAAAGTGAAGAACCCATGAAGGGCGGGGATTGGGCAGGGGAGCCCCAGAGACGGGCCAGGCCCAGACCACTAGGCCATGCTACCTCAGTGCTGAGGACAGCCCCGTGCAAGGGTCTCCCCCTCCCTTCCGTTCTGGGTATTGGCCCCATTCCCTGTATCACCAGCAGCCATGAGATGGGATCCCTGGTGTCTGGCTCAATGCTGGCAAGCGAGAGCAGCTGCCTGGACCTTCCCTTTGCTGCAGAAAAGGGGATGCTGCAGCATTTTGGGAGATTCACAAGGGATTTGGGGGCTGGAGGGGCAGAGGCTGCACCTGATCAGACTCCTGGCCGGGGTCCCAAGGAGAGAGGGGCTGAGCCCAGGAGGGGCCTTTGGTGGCTTCAGGTTGTTGCTCCCTGGCTCAACTGGGTGCCTGTCCTTTCTCCCTGCAGATCTGACGCCAAGTCACCTGTGAGACAGACACCTCCAGGTGAGCAGAGGAGGGAGAATGGCGCCCGGACTCTGCGGCCCAGTCAGTCTCAGCCTCTCTGCAGGGGCTGCAGGCAGAGCCCAGTGGCGCTGCTGGCACTGGGGAGAGCTGCCCACTGAGGGCAGGATCGAGCCCGTGGCCCGAACACCCTGGGGTTGGGGGTGACACTGTTCAGTCACTGTTGACCTGGGCCAGACAGGAACCGGCGACAGACTCGGAGGCTGACTACACCAAGGCGGGCAGGGGTCACAGCATGGCATGTCCCTGTGCTCTCTGCAGTGGGGCTGGGGTTCTGGCACCGTGTGTGTGGGTGGATGCTTTGATTCTCCGCCCACCCCCACCGCTCAGTTAATTCCCCAGCCCCACTCTCCTGTTTTCCTTCTCCCAGAGGCTGTTAACAGCTCCCCCACCTCCAGGAGGGTGAAGACTGTGATCGAGGAGCTGCTGGACGGCAGGGTGGTGTCTTCCCGCACAGAGGAGGTGGAGCATCCCCTCTGAGGCATGCTGGGATTGGGGAAGAAAGGGGGATCCCTCCCCACCAATCGGGCCCCAGCTGCCCCTGCCCCACTGATTTTCCGCTTGGTTTTCTGTGGCTTTGGGTTCCAATAAAGCAAGTGGCGCAGCGCGGCTCAGGACGGAGCTGTTGTGTGGGGCTTTCTGGGGTGGGGCCCGAGGGAGACCCAGCAAACTCATGGCATGTGTGAGCAAAGCCAGGATTCCAACCCAGGGTGCGTGCACCGCCCCCCGCACAGCCGCACCAGCCCCCTCCCCTGCCCCACCAGCCCCTCCACTCGGTGGACCCCGATCCATAGCGGACCATAAACACTGACTGGTGCTTTGCAGCATTGAACGGGGTGGTCCCAGGCCCGGAGGATGGAGAGAGTTAACGCAAGGGACAGGCCCCCTTTAGCTGCTGGTGCCTTTCGGAGGCACTGGGCTCCCCTCTGGAGCTGCAGTCAGATGGCACCTAGTGATTAGCCTCCTTGAACCCGAGGAGAGGTCCCTTCCCTCTGGGTATGGCAGGTCCCAGGGCCCCAGAACTCCAGGAGAGAGAGACCCGCAGTCCTGCCTGCTGGCACCAGGAGGCAGCAGCGACTAGTTCATCCATCACTCCCTGGACCATAAGCTCTGAGCTCAGCCCCGGGAGAGGAGCTGGGTCCCTTGGCCTGGAGTGGTCCCTGCCCTCGCCCTTCGTGGGAAGGTGGAGCTGGACAGTTAGCTGCTGCAAACAGTTTTCAGAGGCCCCCAAATTCCTGAGATCCCGTCCGAGCAGGCTGGGAGAGGGAGCATGTGACCTCAGGCGTGATGTCACAGCGTGGCCATGGGGAGCTCCCGGTGAACAAGCCCCAGTCACTGAAGGATGGGTCAGTTTTAGCCCCCCCCCACTTTCCTTTCTGTCTGCAAGGGGGGGGCGTTTCAGAGTACAAGGACCTGCTCCTGTCCTGCCATGCGGGCAGGGGACTGGACTCGATGACCTCTCAAGGTCCCTTCCAGTCCTATAATCTATGAAACAATAACAAGGGAGCACAGATCTGACCCTGCTGTCCTGGCCAGGGCGTCCAGGCCTGGGATCTCAGCGTAGGGAGCAACCCTGCCTTGACAGAGGCCAAATGGAGCTTTTCCATCCCTCTATGCCATGGCTCTGATGCTCGTTCACCCACCCCAGGGCCCACTTGGTGCCTGAGCAGTTGGTGGGGGTGGTGATGGGAGACACCGATGCCTTTGGCCCGGCAGATGCACCCCAAATCCTGCCATGGGGGGGTTGATTCACATTCCCCTGGCACATGTTTTTGCTCAGGCTAAAAGCCGCTACACCAAATACATTGGCTTTGTGTCCCAGGCATGGCCACTGGGTGTCAGCACAGACCAACCCTTGGGCACAGCGACCCAAGTATGCTACATGGAAGAGTCCCAGCTCCAAGCCCTGGACATCCTGGGAGGAGACCATCCGAGAGCCACCTCTTTTCTGCCCCCCGACCCGGCCGGAGCGGAAGGCCCAGCCGGACTCATTCCCCTCTGGTTGTTGCTAGGGCAGCGACAGCGAATGCAGGGTGCACACAGGCGCTTTGGGTCACAGTCACGTCAGCTGCACATCCAGCGACAGAACCCTGGTTTGGCTGCTGTCCCCCCACCCCACTGCCTGCGAGGGAGCAGAGCTACCAGGCAACACCCCCCGTCTGTCCAGGCCTTTCTGAGGCTGGGAATCAGGCCCCAGTGTCTGGGAAGCACCTTGGGGCCCTGCGGGATGAACGGGTCTCAGTACACGTGAAATGTCTCGCGTGGGGCTGCAGAGCGACTGGGTTACCCAGGATGTTAATAACACTGGAGTTGGGGCCCTAAGCACTGCAGCTGGAATGGGCTCCGGTTAGGGCAGAAAGAAGAATGTCAATTCGAAGGACGATCTCTCTAGCTGGACGATCCGAACGGGGCATTGGCTGAACCAGCATCACTGGGATTTCTGAGACAGGCTGCCTAGGAATGGCCCCAGGGAGTCTGGACAGCAAAGCGGTGAACATCCAAAGCCTTCAGCCCTTTCCATTAGCGGGGCCCGGCCGTATACGGTTTGCCAAAGCCCCCACTTTCTCCGTGCTCTGGAGTGTGCAAACCTCTTTTGTCCACAAGATGGCAGCATAAATGTTCTAATCAAGCTGGATTCAGGTTCGCCCAACCCGCCTTCTCCATCCCTGCGCAACAGGCAGGTAGCGCCTCTCCAACGCAGCTGAGAATCTCCGGAGCTCTGGGAAGCCCTGGGCATTGCTGAGGTTAGCAAGGCCGCCTGGTTCCTTGGCCAAATCACCTGCCCTCCCTCCCTTTGGACTGCAAGTTCTTAGGGGGCCTGGACGGGCTCTCGCTGCGTCTGTGCAGCGCCCGGCATAACAGGACCCCATCTCAGTTGTCTCTGTAGCTGTTCCTGTAATGTAAATAACAGCAAAGGTGATTCCCCTTCTCCCGGGCATTTACTGATCATCTTCCCGGAGCTAGTCTGTGCTGCTGGTTCTCTGCTCTAAGGATGGGGACTGGTTTGTGGCATCGAAGTCCCAGTAGGGAGGGTTTGGGTCTGCACACAGCCCACCATGTGCCAGGGTCTTTTTCACACATGCTAAGGGCTTGGGCCGGAGTGGGCCCGTGTGCTGTCAGGATTCGCACTGGTGAGTCCTGCGGCGCCCGGCCCCAGTGAGGGCTGAGGGAGTGCGGCGAGGCTGCAGACTGTCGTCTCCTGCCCTTGGCCGTGTTGCCAAGTGCCAGAGCTGGTGAGTGATGCAATCCCTGCACAGAGCTTGTTAAAGTCCCTCGGGAGCAGGCACTATCCAATCACCAGGACGTTACTGTCCCCTGGGGGTCCCTGTGCCGCCGGAACGTTCACAGGCCAAGTGAGTGTAACCCACACACCTCCTGCGTCTGGCGTTCGGGCCCAGCTAGTGGCACCGACGCCACTGAGAGAGATTATGCGTCTGCTCTGCAGCCAGTTGGCTTTTAGCTCATGCAGCCAGAGGCTCATGCGCTAAACTCCAGCCGTCCCCAGGTTCGATTCCGCCCGCCGGGGTCTGTCGGCGTTACATGAGCATCAGCCAGGGCCTCCACAGAGGATCCCACAGAAGGGTTATCAGGTGGAATCAGCCCGTCGCCCTGGGACTGAACCCTGAGAGCCTCCTGGCGCTAGCCTGGTGCGCCGGGGCCAGAAGCGAAGCTGTCCTGCAGCAAGAGAGCAGCTTTCTGGGGAGACCTTGCAGATCTGCCCGTGGCAGCCGGACGTGGTCAGGGCTTGGGGGAAGAGGGCTGAGTCAGTGTGTGGGCTCTTCCCAAACAATCCCACCCCCTCAGGTGGGGTTGGTTCATCCTGCCCAGCCACAGGTATGTGGTGGAGGACGGCAGGCAGGCCAGGGGGTAAAAGAACAGCCCCAGGTTGAAGGAGCTGGGAGGAGATGAGCAGGGTGGAGAACATCCTTCTGCCAAGAGGTTACATTGGGATCCTGCCATGGCTGCGTTCCTAGCATTGGGATTGCCCTGCCTCGTGCCCCCTTGATGCTCAGGCATCTGCCCAGAGCCTCTCCGAGGGCAGCGAAATGACTGATGCCCAAGGTGTGTCCAGGTGCAGCACAAAGCTACCAGTGGCTCTGTCAGCAAACAAGGCCCCGACCTCCACCTGGGGTGGCTCCCGGAGTCACTGCAGAGGGGGCTGCTGCAGCCTGTGGTCTCTGGATTTGCCATCTCCAACTGCCTGTGCAGGAGCGGCCCTGGGTGACACCCCAATGGGCTGGTGGTTGGTGTGTGTCGCTGGGACCCACGAGGCTCTTCGAGTGCTTTCTCTTCCAAGCCCCCGGTCAGCCCCTCAGCAGCAGGTCACTTGTGCCGGGTGGCACAGCACAAACCTAGGACCCATGTGAGCAGGAACATCTTAGGGTGCAGCACACGTCCTGACTGGGGTCCCCAAGTCCTGGCTGGATGAGATATGTCGATGGGCACTTCCTGGGCCAGCGTCAGCCATGCAGACAACCATGGAGAATGGCTGTGCGCTGATAGATCTGAGCCTCCCAGCGTATCTGTGCCCAGAATGCAGGCCACCCCCAGGGGATACCGAGGGGCAGCTGAGCTCCTCTGCCACCAGGCCGTTAGCAGCCAGGGACGGAAGCCGATCGGACCCAGACGCTCTTGAGTGCAAAGGCAGCCACCGAAATGACAAACAAATGGGAGGAAACAAGTTTCCGAGCGTTAGAACCTCGGCAAAGGCCGGGCCTGAGCTCAGGTTGGTTCTTCTCCAGACTGGCTTGCTCACCTCTAGCAAGCACCATCCGTTGGGCCGAGTGCCCCCTCTTTGGGTCAGCACTGGTGCCTGAAAGACGGACCATGGCTGCTATCAGCTGGTCCACAGAGCAGCAGACGAGCCTCCCACCACAGCCGCCTAGGACTCTGCACAGCCGTGAGCTGCTGGGCATGTACCGCCGTGGCAAAGGGCTAGACAAAGAGGGATGTTTCCTGCCAGAGCCAGGCCGGTGACAGCTCATTGTGGTGTTTATGGAGCTGTACGTCGACAGGACATTTACAGCCTTCCCGACAGCCTCTGATAGGGTGTCTCGTTGTGCAGCCCTGGGCTGGTCTCTGCTTCCTGTGGAGTTAGCCACAAACCTGGAGGCTCCCAGAGGCCAGGGCTTTCGGAGCGAGCCGGGCAGCAGGCGCTTCCTCTGCGGTTAGTGCTGGGCAGTTCAGTTGAAGTTGAGATTAGACCTGCCCGAGCGCCTGTTGCAAGGGTACTGCCATCCACTGGGGCGAGAGGGGACAGAGCACAGGACCTGGGCCATACATGGGAGTCCAAAGGGGGAGCCGGGTGGCATGTGGGAGGGGTGGGGCCTTTGGACATTTATTTCCAGGGCTCTCATAAGCTCCTTGCTCCCCTCGCTTCTCAGTTGCATGGACAAGGCCTTGCTCAGGGAGCCGGGCAGGGAGCCAAGGCGGCAGAGCGCAGTTTTCTGGGAGATCCTCTCAGATGGGAACAGTGATTTGCGTCTCAGGTCTCTCTGCAGGACCACACCAGATCTGAAGGCAGGCAGCATTTGTGGACCTGCCTGACATGCCCGATCCATAGCACTGCCCAACAGTCGTGCATAACCATTGCCCTGCGTGGCCGGCCTTCCTTTCC